CACCATTTGTTCTATCGATTGAGTACAAGAAACAGCCTATTTACAGATTTCAACTACCCAATAAAGTGATCAGAAATTAGTAATTTGACCAATTTCATACACAATTCAATAAAGCCATTTTCAAAATAGGGTCCAGAATTAACAATAGAAACATTCCTAGCACTAAAATAATATTTTCTCTGTTCATTAGTCACGTCTCCATGTCCCTCTTACATTATACTTGTTTTCCATTTTGAATTTTTATTCACTCTGGTGGCCTGGTGGTTAACGCTCTCGCTTCACACGGTGAGGTCCTGGGTTCGATTCCCAGCCAGAGTAGAAACATTGGACGTGTTTCTTTCCACCTGTTGTCTATGTTCCCCATCAGTAAAATGGGTACCTGGGTGTTAGTCGACTGGTGTGGGTCGCATCCTGGGACACTGACCTGTGACCAGGCCGCGGGGGCGTTGACCCCCGGAACTCTCTCCAGGTAAACTCCAGGTAAACTCAAAAAATAGATTTACTGTTATGCAGATTACTGCACTATGTAAAAATGGCATACATAATACCAGCGCATTTGTGAAAACATATTAGACCCACCAGTTGACGTGTATTGGACATGTTATGTGATTTCTTTACTCTTGAACATCAGCAAAAATCAAACATTTCCGCTATTTTGGGCTCAATTTCAAGATACTTTTTGTCTGTAAACTATTCGAAATCATCTCCATTTTTGTAATATATCTTCCATTCTATCAAATGAGGCAATGAAAACAAGAATACAACCATAAATACCATATGAAAATACACAGCAAAGTCTTGAAGCCACTGGAATTTTTGCATAATATTATGGAACCGACACCGGCTTGCAAGCAGTAATATTATGGGACCGACACCGGCTTGCAAGCAGTAATATTATGGGACCGACACCGGCTTGCAAGCAGTAATATTATGGGACCGACACGGCTTTCAAGCAGTAATATTATGGAACCGACACCGGCTTGCAAGCAGTAATATTATGGGACCGACACCGGCTTGCAAGCAGTAATATTATGGGACCGACACCGGCTTGCAAGCAGTAATATTATGGAACCGACACCGGCTTGCAAGCAGTAATATTATGGAACCGACACCGGCTTGCAAGCAGTAATATTATGGAACCGACACCGGCTTGCAAGCAGTAACATTATGGGACCGACAGTGAAAGGGCTGGAAAAGAAAATTTCAGACCTTAGGACGATGGAACACAGGAAGAAAGACATTGATGCACATGATTCCTTCTACCGACTCACCTGGTGCCTGTCCAGTGGTGGTTCGTAGTGCCAGTAATACCTATACTATCGCACCGCATCAATCTTCTATTTTAATCATTTTTTATCTCGTTTCAATAAAAAATAAAAATTCACTTATAAATACATTGAAAACAACATACAACAGAGTTTTCCTGTGATATATTTGTCAGTAGCAAATTATTTTAGCGTAAGGTTGATAAAGTCATACGTCTGGCAGTAAGCATCTAGGGGGACTGCAGTTCAGCAGCTCCTATGGACGAGCTGCCACTGTGCCAGTCCATCTAAAAACTTGCCTACTTCTTGAGATGCTCCCCAGCCTTCAGTAGTCCAAAACTCAAGGAATCTGACTCCCTCCTTAAGACCATGCTAGAGAGTGTATTGAATCTTTCCCTTGAAGATGGACAGTGGTTGCAAGCCCTCCCAGCCCTCCAGTCAGGCTTGGAGGGCTGGGAGTATGCAAATCCTCCCTGCCTGCCCTCTACTTTAGCATGAAATGAGTTGGTAAAATGAATTTTTCTCTGAATAACCTCAGTGACTCAGCAGGAATACAGGACCCTAGATATGCCAGTGCCATTACCGAGTGGGAGACTGTCGCTGCTCCAACATCTATACCTAATGCAGCACTGGCCTACAAAGAAACGAGTTAGGATGGCCCTATTGCTGAAAAGTTGCTTGTCAACATGCTTAGGGCTGTAACATCAGAGAGGTAGACTGCTTGTCTCCAAGCTGTAGGTGCACCTTACTCTGGGGACGTCCTTCAAACAGTTCCCATTTCGGTAATGGGAACATGTCTCAACCCTAAGACCCTTTGCACTGTTATGGCTCTCCACCTCACTGCTGCAATTCACATGGAATATATGTGTATTTGTGGTGATGCGCAAGCAAAGCAATGTGGTCTACATGATCTTAACTGCTTCGAAACCAAGGGCTGGCACGCAAGACAGTGAAGTCAACAGCTGGATGCCCAGCCGAGAGAGCGCCCAATCACTAGGAACCAACAATACTCACAGCCCCACAAACAGCCCCAACGGGATCACCATCTATTGTTGGAAGAATGGCACGCTCTTAGCATGGAACTAAACCTACTCATCGACACTGGCTGACGCCTACATCCATTACAGTGTGAAGCGACAGGGAGGAGCTGCTGATCATAGGGAGGAGTACAAAATTGGAGCTACTAAAACGTTTACCAGAATATCTAAAGGAAAAGGAGATAGTTATGATCAGGAAAAGTGCAATAAAAAGGGTGGACGAGATGACTGAGGTTCTTCAAGGATCAGTACTGGAACCAGTATTGTTCCTCATACTCGTAAACATGCCAGAGAAGAGAAATTCCTAATTAAGTATGGGGAGAGACAGGAAATAATATTCAGTAATGGCAGCCTTAAGGCTCTCCTTCGGCTCTGTCTCCTAGAGTTTCCATAAGTTAGTCTCCAGTAATGTTCTATGTACTGGAATATGACTTACCGTAGAGTTTGCTGCTGTGAGGCATGAAATAACTGTAGCAGCAACACAGCCTGTAAATGTCATAAAATATATTATTTCCTGTTCATGATTAGAGAATAAAATTATTTAAAAAAAAATAACTTCGAATTACGATGACAGTAATACATAGTCATTAAAAATGATCATAATAGTAATAATTAAGCAAGGAAATGAGACTAACAGAATCTGTAGATAGTAATAATTATTATTAAGCAAGGTAATGAGACTAACAGAATCTGTAGATAGTAATAATTATTATTAAGCAAGGTAATGAGACTAACAGAATCTGTAGACAATCAAAGAATGTATATCAACTTGGAGGGAGAATAAAACAAGTTAATATCTTCATATATTTGGTAGTGAACTTGATGATGGATGGTTCTATGAAAGCTGAGGTGAATCAAAGTATTAGTCGTGGCCAAAAAGGAAAAAAAATGATGCATTGTGGGATTTTGATGGAAACAAATTGAATGTACCGGTTAGTGATATCAACAGTGTTATATGGGTGTGAAACATGGGGGGTTAAATGTTGCAGTGACAAGGTGGCTGCAGTAAGTGAAGATGTTGTATTTGAGGGCAATATGTGACACACGAGACCATGAAGCCCGAATTGATCAGCTGTCTCCCTGCCGCAAATACACCTATGTTCGGTGAGGATGGGGGCGGTTAGGAGAAGAGCAACACCAATCCGAAATATATATATATATATATAATTATATATATATATATATATATATATATATATCGTGCCGAATATATATATATATATATATATGTCGTGCCGAATAGGCAGAACTTGCGAACTTGGCTTAAATAGCAACGCTCATCTTGCCATATAGGACAAGTGAAAATTTGTGTATGCAATAATTTCGCCAAAATCATTCTGAACCTAACGAAAAAAATATATTTCACTGTGTTTGTTTAGTATTAAATTATTGTAAACAAATCTAAAATATATTTAGTTGGGTTAGGCTAAAATAAATTGCGCTTGTTATAATAAGGTTAGGTAAGTTTTCTAAGTTCCTTTTGGTGCAAAATTATAAATTTTTACATCAACATTAATGAAAAAAATATATCTTTAAACGTATAAGAGAAAATTTTAGAAAGGAATTAATTTTAAATGAGTTCTTGCTAATTGACCAGTTTTACATATTCGGCACGACTTATATATATATATATATATTATATATATATATATATATATATATATATTATATATATATATATATATATATATATAATATATATATATATATATTTGAGGAATCGTTTGATGATGAAGATAGGGAAGCTGTGATTTCGTGTATAGGAGTGAGGTAGATCCAATTGTGAGTGTGGTGGAAGTTCTTGAGGCAATGGGTAGAATGAAAGGGGGTAAGGCAGTGGGATTGATGGGATAAAGCTAGAAATGTTAAACGCAGGTGGGGATATAATTTTGGAGTGGTTAGTGTTTTTAATTAATAAATGTAAGGTACGGTAAGGTACCTAGGGATTGATAGAGAGCATGCATAGTTCCTTTATATAAAGGCAAAATGGACAAAAGAGAGTGTAAAAATTATAGGGGAATAAGTCTGTTGAGTATACCTGGTAAAGTGTATGGTAGAGTTATTATTGAAAGATGAACAAGGAGGCTTCAGGGAAGGTTGGGAGTGTATAGACCAAGTGAAACATATAGGTAAACAGTATTTAGATACGGGTAAAGTGGTTTGTGTGGCATTCATGGATTTAGAAAAGACGTATGACAGGGTGAATAAGGGGGCAATGTGGCAGATGTTGCAAATGTATGGAATAGGAGGTAGGTTATTGAAAGTAGTGAAGAGTCTTTACGAGGATAATGAGGCTCAGGTATGTAGGCGAGAGTGAGATTATTTCCCAGGGATATGTGATGTCACCATGGTTGGTCAACATATTTATAGATGGAGTTTTAAGATAAGTGAATGCTCGGGTGTTGGCAAGAGGTGTGTGGATAAAAAATAAAGACTAACACAAAGTGGGAGTTGTCACAGTTGCTGTTTGCTGATGACACTGTGCTTTTAGGACACTCTGAAGAAAAGATGCAGATATTGGATGATGAATTTGGTATGGTATGTAAAAGAAGGAAATTAAAAGTGAATGTAGGAAAGCGTAAGGTGATGAGGATAAACAAATTAGGTAATGGAAGATTGGTTATCAGTTTGGAGGAAGAGAGTATGGAAGAGGTGAATGTATTCAGATATTTGGGAGTGGACGTGTCAGCAGATGGGTCTATGAAAGATGAGGTGAATCATAGAATTGATGAGGGGAAAAAGGTGAGTGGTGGCCTGAGGAGTCTGTGGAGACAATGAACTTTGTCCTTGGAGGCAAAGAGGGGAATGTATGAGAGTGTAGTTATACCAATGCTCTTGTATGGGTGTAAGGCATGGGTTGTGAATGTTGCAACATGGAGAAGGCTGGAGGCAGTGGAGATGTCATGTCTGAGGGCAACGTGTGGTGTGAATGTAATGCAGAGAATCCGTAGTTCAGAGATTAGGAGGAGGTGTGGGATTACCAAAAATATTATCCAGAGGGCTGAGGAGGGGTTATTGAAATGGTTTGGACATGTAGAGAGGATGGAACAAAATAGAATGACTTTGAGAGTATACAAATCTGTAGTGGAGGAAAGGCGGAGTAGGGGTCGGCCTAGGGAAGGTTAGAGGAAAGGGGAAAAAAGAGGTTTTGTGTGTGAGGAGCTTGAACTTCCAGCATGCTTGCATGAGCATGTTGGGAGTGAATGGAGACAAACGGGTTTTAGGACTTAACCTGCTGTTGGAGCGTAAGCAAGGTAACATTTTTTCGGGCCACTCTGCCTTGGTGGGAAATGGCCAATGTTTCTAAAAAAATAAATAATAATAAATATGCAAAACAACCACTGTAAAATAATAGTGAAATTCCAAGCGCTTTCGTGACTTCTCACAGTATCAAGTAACTATAAAAACAAAACATCAAAGGAAGGAATATAAAGGGTCAAGACTACACCTCACCATCACATCCTACAATAAAGCAACACCTTACACAAGCGTGACGACACCCCACTCTGTGAAACCCACCCAATACGCTACCAAAGAATTAAGAATTATTACTTGTTTAATGTATCAATAAATTTTTTCCAAATTTTATTAATTATAAATTAGTTGAATTTATATAAACCAAAGGAAATATTCATATCATTTTCAAAACTGCTTTTTATGAAACAGGATTCAATTATATTCCTGTCGACCATGGACTTGCTTGATACAACTTTCTCAACATTTTGAAAATCAATTGGATTGTTAAAATCTCTCACATGAATAAATAGAGCATTAGAATCTTGTCCAGTTCTAATGCTATATTTATATTGTTTTAATCTTAGTTCGAGATTTTTACCAGTTTGACCGTAATAAACTTTATCGCAAATTTTACAAGGAATCTTATAGACACATCCATCAGCATTTTGGGGGGAATTCTTTATCAAAAGATTTTTTTACTGTATCAAGGTTTTTAAAAGTCTTAAGAAGAGAAGGCATATCAACCAAGTTTTCATGGTAAGGGAGAACCAACATATTTTTAGTTGAATAAGGCTGGTTGTCCCTTTTTGGATTGTAAAAAATATTTCTAGCAATTTTAAAAGATTTATCAATTACATTTCTTGGGTATTTAGATCATTAGCTATTTCAAAAATTTTGGATATTTCTTCATCTACGAACTCTGGACTACAAATACGTAAAATTCTCAAAAACATTGAAGAACTTGTTGATTACGGTTTACTATTGCCAGATTCCTACTATCATTAAACTTATTAAACTTTGCATTGTTCATGCAAAATTTGTATTTAATGATAAGTCTTACAATCAGAAGTTTGGTATGGCGATGGGAAATCCTCTTTCACCTGTTCTTAATAATTTATACAGGGATTTTTTTTTTGAAACAAGACTAACAGAGCTAAGTGGTTTAGATATGTTGATGATATTTTGTGTCTTATGCCTTAAGTCAGTACCTGTACAGGCTGGGCTGTGGTTCGTAAGTTGGATTGTGTGTGGCCATCAGTAACAGCCTGGTTGATCAGGCCCTGATCCATCATGAGGCCTGGTCACAGACCAGGCTGCGAGGACGTTGAACCCTGGAACTCTCTCCAGGTAAACTCCAGGTAAGAATGTAGATATAAACCATTTCCTTGTTAAATTAAATAGTTTAGCTCATTCTATAAACTTTACTGATGAGTTCGAAGAAAATAACTCATTGCCTTTCCTAGATCTTTTAATTATTAAGGGTAACAATGATTTTAAATTTAAAATTTACAGAAAACCCACAAATAACTGGCCCTATGTACACTATTATTCTTCACATCAAGATAGAGTTAAACTGTTGGTTTTCTCATCAATATTTTTGAGAGCATTAAGTATTTGTAGTCCAGAGGTCATAGATGAAGAAATATCCAAAATTAATGAAATAGCTAATGATCTTAAATACCCAAGAACTGTAATTGATTAATCTTTTAAAATATATAGAAATATTTTTACAATCCAAAAATGAACAACCAACCTTATTCAACTAAAAATTCCCCCAAAATGCTGACGAATATGTCTATAAGATTCCTTGCAAAGTTTGCAATAAAGTTTATTACAGACAAACTGGTAAAAGTCTCGATCTAAGATTAAAAACATGTGTATATATATATATATATATATATATATATATATATATATATATATATATATATATATATATATATATATATATATATATATATATATATATTTTTTTTTTTTTTTTCAACAAGTCGGTCGTCTCCACCGAGGCAGGGTGACCCGAAAAAGAAAGAAAATCCCCAAAAAGAAAATACTTTCATCATCATTCAACACTTTCACCACACTCACACATTATCACAGCTTTTGCAGAGGTGCCCAGAATACAACAGTTTAGAAGCGGGTTATTTGTGTATCGTTCCAGTCACGGTATTGTGCCTTTTTGTTATTTAGTTTAGAAGCATATACGTATAAAGATACACAACATATTCCTCCAAACTGCCAATATATAT